AACATCTATCTCAGGCACTCATAACAGGTACACACCGTGTCTCTGCTTCACAAGCACAGCCTTATGCTTTTTCTTACATGCCTTCCAGATCCAGATTCCACATATGCCCATTCCAGGGGACCATGGTTAACACATCCTGCTTTGGAGCAGAAAGTGGAAGAAAAAAACACCTGTGGCTTCACTCAGTTCAGTTTTCTCCTGCTCTAGAATATCCTGAGTTGGAAGGGACCCACAAAGGTCATCAAGCCCAGACAACTGTGCTAAAGCAGAAGCAGAAAACATTTTCTCCCCCAAGGTGTCAGGTGGCTGAACAGCAGGAGGAGGAGATTCAGTTGAGGAAAAGGTGAAGGAAGGGAAGAGGAGCTCCCAGACCTGAGCCATGTCCAGCAGGATTTCCAGATCCACCAGCAGTTCATAGACATCTCTGTTGAAGACAACAAGTTCAGCTTTGCTCAGGGTAACCCTCCTGTCTGGGTCCGGAGGGGCGATCATGCTGCCTTTGCCAGCTCCAAAAAGCCCATTGCAGGCCAGCTCCACGTACAGAGTCAGGCTGTGGGGACAAGAGGGAACCATCAGGGAGCAGGTCACAAGCACCAGGACACAGACAAGGATGTGCTGTCCTCAGCCTCTTGGCTTCCAACAACACCAAGCTGCCCCAGCAGAGGGGGGCTCTGGCTTGGCTGACCACCCACCTGTGGGGCTCTGACTCTTTCAGGCTTCTTGTCAGGATGTAGCTGGTCTTCTCACCTTCCTTAGTCAGTCCCTGCACAGGAAGGTGGCACATTCAGCACGTGTCAGCAGAGGTTGGATGGGCACGATGAGATACCCCAAAGTCCAGCTGGACAGAGAGGCTATCCCACATGCTGTGGGATAATTGTTGGCACAAGAGCAGGAACAGAAGCTGTTGCTGCCCCAGCAGCACTGTGACCCGTGCACAGAACATGGCAGGAGTGCCAAAGGTCACCACTCTGCACACAGCAGGGCACCTGGCACAGCCCTGATCTGTGTCTCCATACCTGCACAGGCTGGGCATCTCTCCACACCATGCCCTCCCCATCGCTCTCCCAGACAAAGTGCACTTCCTGCCCTGCCCACGCCAGGGGGATGCTCAGCTCCACCTTAAACCAGCACGTCTCCCATCTGGAAGAGAGCAAGCAGCAGCCTCAGTCTGTGTGTGACCTTCTCCTGAGGGAAAGCACGCTTCCTCAGAGCCCTCTGTGGAAAACCATCATCCCCAAACTGTGGGGACAGCCCATGAGTTTGATGGGATTCACACATAAGGATGCTGCCTGTCCACAGACACACCTGATTTAACCTGTGCCCTTCTGGAACCACAGAGAGACTGTCAGTGGCATCTTGTCTGACCACTGCTGGGAAAAGAATCTTCTCCCAAACTTGATAAGCAAACACATCCTCCCCAGAAGCATCAGAGACACAACCATGGTCACAAGGACCTCTCAGCAAGAAACTTGTCAGTTCCCTCATAAAATCTCTCTTAGAATTCCTGGGCAGGCACCTCCAAGCATCCATCACGGAACAAGATCATCATCTCACATCTTCACCAGGGAGAACTTGTGAGGACTGACTCACACAAATAACTCTGAGACACGAGCTCCAACCCTACCAGGGACACAGCACTGCCGAAACCTGCTACTCACGTGGGCCCAAAAGACTCTCCCACTTGAGTTGGCCTGAATTCCTGCACAGCAGCCTCCTGGTACGGGATGCGCCGCCGAGTCTGGAAGTACGAGAGCGATGCGGGTGGACAGTGATCCCCAAAAAGCCTGTGCTTGGAGATGGAGTAAGATCAGTCCCTCGTGGATCAGCCCAGGGGTGGTACAGAGAGCTTTCACAGCATGGCTGAATCGCCCTACCACCACCCAACACCCTCAATAACATCAACACATCACTGAGTAACAAAGCGCCTCGCTGGGCCCTAGAGGCCAGGGG